GGGACGGCTGGGGTGGCAGTCATCAGGGCTCTCTGGGCCGTCTTCACTAAGCAGCTGGAACACACCAGGCTTTGGGGCTGGGACTGCGGGGGAGAGGCCTGGGCCCATGGTTTCAGGTGGCAGGGACACTTACACAAAAACATTCCCCTTTCTAAGCTCAGCGCCCTTCCAGGTCTTAGAGGGTACGCTCCGAGGGAAGTCTACCACAATGCTCCGGAAGCTGCGCTCCCACCGCCCGGGAGCAAGGGCTCCGCCCACAGGCCCCGCTGCCTGGGAGGCTCCGCCCACAGGCCCCGCGGCCTAGAACTACAGCGAGCCCACTTCAGTTGGAATATTGTTTTCCTTCCTGTCCTTTAGTAATGAACACACACAAAAGGTTTTTTTTTTTAATTTTTTATTGTGATTTGCGTGAAAGTTTACGGAGCAAATTCACTTTCCATACAGCAGCTCGCCTACACTTTGTCTCATGACATTGACTACAATTTACCCCAGTGCAACAGCTCCCCTCCCACTTCCTCCCCATAGTCACCTCTTCCCTGTGTCCATCCCTCCATGCACTCCTGCCCCACCCCCAGCCTTCTCCCTGTGCATACACGGCCCTTCTTTCTCCCATGGTTGATCTCTCCCAGGACTGTATCTGCCTAATGTAAATGTTCAGCTCAGATGCCTGTCTTTTGTTTGGCCGGAAGCCACAGCAGCTAGGGGCCACAGTCTCAGGGGTTGCACCAGGCTCTACCGGACCGGACCGGCAAACCTAGTCCTTTTTATTTTTATTTTGAGTTTTGTTCCACATTGTTCTCCCACTGTCTGCAGGATGGGGACACACAGAAGGTTTTGTCACACATAGTATGTTGTTTGCCACTTTGTCCCCACGATCCAGCACAGCCCATTTTCTACTACTGGTTGCAACCATCCCCGGCTCTGCAGTGCCCCCTCTTTTTTAATGTACTTTAGTTTTTAGAACAATTTTTGGTTTACAAAAAAATTCCACAGAAAATACAGAGTGCTCATATAGACACATCTCCCCTCTCTGTGGTCTTCGAGGTGTTGCATTTGTGTACCAAGGGTGAACCAACATTACCAAGACCAAACCACATCCACTGCCGCTGAGTCCATCCCGACCCACAGCGCCCCTAGAGGACGGAGTGGAACTGCACCACAGGGTTTCCAAGGCTGTCAATCTTTACAGAAGCAAAGCCCAAACCACACCCACTGCCCTAGAGTCGATTCCGACCCACAGCGCCCCTAGAGGACAGAGCGGAACTGCCCCATGGGGTTTCCAAGGCTGTCAGTCTTCACAGAAGCAGATTACCTCATCTTTCTCCTGTGGAGTGGCTGATGCGTTCAAACCACCGACCTCTCGGTTAGCAGCCGAATGCTTTAACCACTGCAGCACCAGAGCTTCCTGACCTGCCACTAGTAAATTATTGTTAGTTCAAGTCCATGGTGCATGTGAGGGCTCACTCTCCGTGAGGTCCCCAGGTGACACAAACCATTTGCACTCAATTGACTGGACGGTTGGCGATGGGAGCACACCCGGTGGTGCTGCAGAAGGGCCTGACGATTGCTTCCACAAAGATGATGGCCAAGGAATCTCCCGAGGCAGTTCCCCTCACCCAGGGGTCGCCACGAGTCAGAATCGACTCAGTGACCACGGGTTTGGTTTTAGCTTTCGCTGTGTGCATGCAGTCCTGTGAGTTTTGACAAATGCTTAACGTCGTGTGTTCACCACGGCAGTGTCACGCAGAACAGGCTCTCTGCTCTAAAAACGCCCTCTGCTACCCTGTTGGTCCTCCTCCTGCCCTGAGCCCCTGGCGACCGCCGACCTCCTTGTCTCTGTATCTTGCCTTCCCAGGATATCGTATCGCTGGGCACACTTTCCTCTGCAGGACAAGTCCATTTAGCTTCTAAAAGTGAGCTGCTGGAAAGGCAGCAGGCACACACGTGAGTTCTGGGGTGGAGCCAGGGGCGGGGCTAAGGACAGAGCTGTTTGTGGGGTGAGTCACAGCCCAGGCTTCCAAGCCCGTGGGCCCCTGGGGAGCTGCTTTCCGCAGCTGTAAAATGGTTAGGCCTCAACCCTGGAACATTCCGCTCAGGGCTGGGGACACACCCACGAGAAGCTGCTTCTCGGGTGATGGCTCCGAGGGAGGGGACAATCTGGGGGGCTTCCTGGGGGAGGTGTCCTGTGGGCCGCAGGGAAGGAGGCTGTGGAGGAGCCGCAATGGGGTCCTCGAGGTACAGGCAGCTGCAGAGGAGAGTCAGGATTGGGATGGGCACCTGCAGAATTTGGGGTTTGTGCCGAGGCCAGATGACAACCTTGAGTAACCAGGTGGTGTGTGAGACTTTACCCTGGAGACGCCGGGAGCCATGGAGGGGTGAGAGCAGGTTCATGATCTTCCAGAAGGTTCCTGGACTGTTTGGGAGGAACCTGGACACCTGGGGGGAGGGCTGGCTCCCCAGGGGCACTGGGTCAAGGTAAGGCCTAATGGCCCCGCCTGAACCCAGCTGCACAAGGTCCAAGGTGTTTCCCAGCCCTTCCTGCTTTATGGCACCGAGGTGGCGGGCTGTTGGGTGGGGCAGGTGCTGAGGAACCAGGAGGAGGCCTTAGTTTTCCCATTTGACGTTCCTGAGCCAGGCAGCCAGCCAGGGCCTCCGTCAACGGTCAGTGTTGGTGAACACTAGGGAGGGGTCACTGCATGAATGCAGTGTGCCCTGGGAGAGGGGGCAGGGGCAGCGGGGAGGTTTTTTTTTGGGGGGGGCATTTGACCTGGACCTTGAAAACTAAGGCAGACTTGGACACCAGGGAGGGGAGGGTGCAGAAAGCGCGGGAGTGCGTTGGCCGGCTCACCGTGTGTCTTGATTCTCTAGTCCTGCTGTAACAGACAAATATCACAGGCAGTGGCTTTAACAAGCAGGACTTTATTCTCTTACAGTTTTGGAGGCTAGAAGTCCCAGTTCAAAGTGCCAGGCTCTAGGGGCTGAGTGGAAGCCCCTTGACCTTGGGCTTCAGCTCTGCTCGTTGCTGGAGGTTTCTCTTAACTCAGGCAGCCGGTGGCTGCTGAGGCTGACAAACCCAAGGTCAACAAATAAAATGGCACAGTCCCAAGATTACCAAACCACATGGAAGGCCATTAGTTCAAGTCCAGAGACAGTCCTAAGACCAGCAGGAGACATGGCAGGCTGCCGAATGAAGACTCGGCTGCAGGCAGAGTTCCAGAATACCAGGAAGCTGCAGAGGCCATTCCCAAGGCTTCTCCTTGTGCACGGGAAGCAGACCACATCCCCAAGGCAGCTCCTCAGCTGCTCCCATAGATCCCACCATGGAGCTGAGCACCAGTCTCACCGTGGGGAATCACTACGCCCAGCCGCCCAGTCCCTCAATCAGGCCCAGCCAAGTTGACATGTAACCTCAACACCCACACCATGGCAAGGTGTGGAGCATTTGAGAGATGAAGGGGCAGTCAGCCTGCAAATCGCTGGGTTGTAAGGTTGGGCAATCTACTTCCATAATGATTTTGCCTCGAAAACCCAAGGAGGGGTCGCTATGAGTCAGGGCCGACTCGACGGCACATAACAACAACAGCAAATGTCAGCTGTGCGTGAGGGTGAGTTGTTAGGTCAGTAACCCAGAGTCTAGGGATTCAGGTATGGCTGGATCCAGGAGCTCAATCTTCATAGTATTCTGTGTCAGTGTTAAGGAACCCTGGTGGTGCAGTGCTCAAGTGCTCAGTTGCTAACCGAAAGGTCAGCAGTTTGAACCCACCAGCTGCTCTGTGGGAGAAAGGTGTGACAGTCTGCTTCCATAAAGATTCCCAAATCTATAGCCTTGAAAGCCCCATGAGGCAGTCCTATTCTGGCCTATGGGTCACTATGAGCAGGGGTTGATTGGAAGGCGCAGGGTTTTGGGTTTAGGGCTGTCAGTGTTGGGTTTACTCTTGAGTAAGCTGGGTCTACAAGGGGGAGATGTGTTCCCAGCATTTCTGCACCTCAACCCTAGTGGGAAAACCGACTGCCATGGATTTGATTCTGACTCTCAGCCTCTTGGACAGAGGAGAGCCGCACCCCAGGTCTCCAAGTCAGTAAACAGACTGCCTCATCTTTCTCCCACGGAGCAACTGGTGGGGTCAAACCGCAGACCTCTTGGTTAGCAGCTGAGTGCTTTAAACACTTTGCCCCCGGAGCTCCTTCCCAGTGGGAAGTGGGTCTCGATTTTCTGCACTAATGGTAATCAGTCTCAGGGTTTTATGTCATTGGCCAGATTGGGTCATATGTTCAATCATGAACCGATCACGGAAGCTAGGGCATAGAATACTTAGATTGGCTGGGTTGGGACAATCACCCATCCCTGAAACAACCATGGGGGGGGGGCGGTCAGAAGATGCAATGATCTGATGGGCTTGGCTGGGTCATTTGCCCACCCCTGAGACAATCAAAGGGGCCACTTGGATGGCACTGTGCCTTTTGAAAGACTGGAAATTGTTCCTGTCTTGACATGGTCTGACCTGGTGGCTTTTGGGGCCTGACACATGCCTTAGTGTCCTGGGGGTGCTGCAACGCAACACCACCATCAGAGACCCTCAAGGACAGTTCTTACTCAGGCAGGGCCTCGGCTGTGTGGGCCCTCCCTCCCGCGGCTCTGAGACAGGAGGTGCCCCAGGCCTCGCCCCAGGAGCTCCTGCTGTGGGCTCTGACAGATGCATCTGCCCTGTTGCCACATGGCGTCTGCCTTCCCCGTGTGTGGCTGTTCCCCTGTGTCCTTCTCTCAGATTAGAAGACACTCAGAAGGGCTGGGAGCCACCCTAGTCCTGTATGAACTCAATGTCATTGACAGTGTCTGCAAGGCAAAGCCCGGACCTTGTCCGTTCACAGGATGGGTCATCCGCAGGAAGGTGACGGCTTTGGCGTGTCCCTGGAGAACAAAGCCCATTATGACGATCACTTCCCTCCCACTTCCCTAGTGAGTCTACAGCATCTCCAACCCGGAGCCCGTCGGCAGGGACATGGACCGAGTGACCAGATACCCCATCTTCAGCATCCCCGACTCGCCCCGTGCCAACAGCCTCGCGCCCGATGGTGACATCAGCTACACGTTCCAGCTGGTGGGCGTGGGGCCCGAGGTGACCAGCTGGGGCCAGCACGAGCCGCCTGCCTGGCCTGCTGACCATGAGGTCCGGCTGGACACGGGGAGGAGCACAGCACCCCACAGCCTGCGTGTGTCCCCCAGGAAGCTGATCCCACGGCCACTCTACATAGAGGACGAAGATGTGGAGATGGAGGCTCACCACGTGGATGATGCCAGGGATGTGCCCAGGCGGCCGCGGGACCTGGAGCAGGAGCGCCGGGCGGTCATCCGGGGCCAGGCGGTCAGGAAGAGCAGCACGGTGGCCACGCTCCGAGATGCCCCTCGCCAGGTGGACTGGGCCCCCAGCCGTGCTCTGACGGAGAGCCTGGAGGACCACGCGGTCGACACGGAGCAGACCCACTTCCTGAGCGCTCGGCAGCAGTTCCTGAGCCTGGAGCGGGCAAACGCGGGGGCCCCTCGGAAGCCCCCGGCCAGGGTGGCTTCCCCACCGGAGGTCGGCCAGGTCCCCGAGGCCTTTAATGGGCCCCAGCTGGCCAACGGGCATGGTGTCCCCGCCAGGCCCCAGGTGAAGGATGTGCTTATAAAAGAGAAGAAGGCCCGCCATCCTCCCGCTGGGTTTGGTGTCCACACGGGGGATGAGCCTGCTCTCCGGCCCCACGCAGGGTCTCCGGAGCCCACCAAGGAGACCCCCATCGAACGGGAGATCCGGCTCGCCCAGGAGCGTGAGGCCGACCTGCGTGAACAGAGGGGCCTGCAGCGAGTGGCTGGCCACCAGGAGCTGGTGGAGATTCCGGCCAGGCCCCTGCTGACCAAGGTCAGTGTGACTGCGGCTCCGCGGCGGGAGAGAGGCCGCCCGTCGCTGTATGTGCAGCGGGACCTTGAGCAGGACACGCAGCGCGAGCAGGACCACCGGCGGCAGGGGGGCCGGGCGAGTACCCCCAGCTGGGTCTGCGAGGTCCCCCAGCCTGCACTCAGAAGAGCCCTCAGCTCAGACTCCATCCTCAACCTGGCCCCAGACGCCCAAGTGGCTGGCAGCACTCCTGAGATGAGAAGGGTGAACTGCACCCCACCCAGTACCTACCAGCCACACGTGAACCCCAGGACCCCCTGGCCAGACTCCAGCCTCACTCTGGCCCTGGACACCAGGGTGGTCACCCCAACCTCAGAGACAAGGAGGGTGAACCGCATCCCACCCGATGCCTACCAGCCGTTCCTGAAGCCCGGGACCCCCCTGCCAGGTTACTCAACCTTTAAAATGCCCACCAAGCCCCGTGGTCTGTCTGCAGAGGAAGTCAAGTCTGTGGCTCCTCCACAGCTCATAGGGCCTCAGAGGCCTGTCTCAGACTCTTCTGGAAAACACTTGGGCGCAAAGCAACAGCCCTTGAAGCTGCCCCAGGGACCCCCACGAGCCGACGGAGGTATTGTGCGACGAGAGTACTTCCTCCTGCGTCCCCTGCAGTTCAGAGTACCGGATGTGCCCCGGCAGGCTGAGGCTCCTCAAGTCTGGGGCTGGGAGGTGGCTGGGGGCCCGGCGTTGAGGCTGCAGAAGTCCCAGTCGTCTGAGCTCCTAGAGCAGGAGGTGGAGAGCGTGCTGAGGCGCGAGCGGGAGGTGGCAGAGGAGCGGAGGAATGCCCTCTTCCCCGAGGTCTTCTCCCCGCCACCATGTGACAGCTGCAGCCCGGACTCCAGGAGCTCCTCCAGGGCATCCGGTGAGGAGAGGCCCTGAAACGGCAGCTGTGCTCTAAGTTCCCAAGATGGGAGCAGGGGAGGCTGAGGACGTGGGGTTTGGGGATGTTGGAGGGGTTTTGGGTAGGGGGACATCACCTGACTCACTCTGCTACCCCAGCCAACTGGTCTGTCTGCCTGTCTTTCTGCATAAGCTGTAGATTGTGGAGAGAGATGTCAACTTTGCCTCGCTGAGTTTGCTTTATGGATTGAGATGGCTTGTTATTAGGCTCCTACATGTTTATAGATGGCATGTCCTCTTGCTCCTTTTTATCAGTGTGACATAGCCCCCCAGTGCCAGTTTGTATCTTTGTCACCTAGAAAGGCTGTCCGTCTGTCCATCTACGGTTTCTCTGGACTGGCTATTTTGGCCTATTTGTCCATCTGTTTTCTCAACTAGCTGCCTGGTCTGTCTGTTCACTTGTCTCCTGTTAGGTCCAGCCTCTTAACCAGAGCCTCTGCGTCTGGACTCAGGTCTGATGGGGTAGATGCCCACTAGGAGCCCTTGGGTCCTTGTTGATGCCCCTGCTTTCCCCCCCCCCGACCACCCACAGGCATCTCAGGCAGCTACTGTGTGTCTGAATCACCCTTCTTCACCCCCATCCACCTGCACTCGGGCCTGGTGTGGACGGTGGAGGCTGAGCCCGGGCCCCTGGAAACCCCACCAGAGGATGCTCCGTGGCAGAGGAAGAAGAGGGATCTCTGGGTAAGTCCCAAAGCGGACACTGCCTGCCTCCTGGAGGCCTGGCTGCGGCCTGACAGCCCCGCACTGCACCACAGACAGGCAGCTCGCAGGGTTATGACGGAGACTCCGTCAGACCTGGAATTGAGTCCTGTCTTCCTCATTGCCCGCTGCTAACTGTGCCTCAGTTTACCCCACGTGGGAGGTGCAGGTCAGAGCAAGTGGGCATCTCACCCATCCCCGGGGGGTCTCGTATGCACCAAAGATGGGCATCTTTGTCACTGTGAGTTGGAGGCGGACGGACGAGTCCTCTTGGACCTGTCATTCTCTAAGTGTCTGGCACTGTGATAAAATACACGATTCACCACGGTAACCACCCCCAAGGGACATTCATAAGCATTTAGTACACAGGCTGGGTAAACCTCACACTGTCTGTTTCCAGACCTTGGTCCCAAATCGAGACTTCCCGTCCTGAGCCTTTCAGTGTATTTGTTGTTGTCCGACTGTTTTTACTGTTACACCAGGTTCCAGCACTGTGCTCAACGTTCAACACACATTAAGCCTTGATGCCTCGAAGGGAAGCCCATCACACCCATTTTATAGGAAAGAAAACCCAGGCACCAAAAGCTGAACTGACACACGCCCAAGGTCATGACACTCATGAATGACTGGGCTGGGACTTGAACCCAGGCCTGGCTCCAAACCCCACACTGCTAACCACTAGGTCACCCTCCCCCTGCATGGGGCACTGGGGAGGCCACAGAGAAAGGCAGGCCTGCGTTCCCCTGCCTGGTGCTCACAGACTGGCATCAGATGGGTCCAGTGTGGCCTGGCAGTTCAGGGCACAGACTGGAGCCCGACGACCCAGGCTCACGTCTCAGCTCAGCCACTTGCCAGCTGTGTCCTCTCCGACCTGCGTCTCCTCCTCTGTAAATGAGACAACCAAGGCCACCCTGCAGCCCCCGTGAGGAAGCGAGAAATTCATGGGGGTCCAGCACTTAGACCCCATGGGAGTCAGCACCTCTTCATGATGGGGACAAACTGGACAGTGGCCTCCCTGAGGGACAGCATGGTGGCCGGCTCTGCGATTGGGCTGACCGAGGGGCACAGAGGAGACTGTGGGCCGGGTTGCCTTCCCTTCTGCCCAAGTGGCAACAGTGCAGCCTGGGGGGGGGGGCGGAGCAGGGGCTCCCGGACGCTGACCCGTGTCTCTTTCCTGCAGTATGCCGGCATCAACCCCGCAGACCACGTCAACTCGGAGGTGAGGCTGGCTTCCCGACTCCATCTGTGCCCCCCTCAGCCCACTGCAATGAGGCAACTGCAGGCCTGCCCTCCAGGCGGGACCCCACTGGGTGTCTTCTTTTCAATGTAGTACTATCTTATTCCGTCTTTGGTGACAGGTTCCACGTTAGGTTAGGTTTCCGTGTGACGGTTTCCACACTAATTGTTGGGTGACATTACTTTTGGCACGGTGGGCCAGCGTGGTCTTTCTCTGTGTTCCCTGCTCCCTCTCAGGACTCTAGTCTCCCTGCCCCTATCTTCTCTTCTTAGGGGCTGAGTAACACGGTTGACCCTTTGGTCTCAGGCTGATGGCGTTTAAATGGCGCCTTTATATCGTGTGCTACCTGCTGTTTTGCTAAGAGGTGACCTCAGGGGGGTTCCTGTCTCTACTGTTCCAGTTTGTCTGGCTTTTCACTGGTGTTTTCTTGATTAGTAGTGTCTATCTGAGGTGGACTGTGCTGTGATCTGCTCATGATGTCTGCCTTAGGCACAGATTATGGAAATGTGGGCTGTGTGCTGCCTCTTTACCAGATAGCACTGTTTTTTGAGCAGCTTAGATCCAAGACAAGGACATTTACTTTACTTGAGTAAAGGATTCATCTGAGCGCATGCAGAAGCCCAGTGACCTCAGTCGATACATGGAAAAGATCTGTGACCTTCCCTCAACTGGAGTCCGTTCACAGAGGCATTTTCCCTGTCTGTGCACTCAACATGTGTTAACACTTGGAGTTAATGCCCTGGCCATATTACTAGAGATAGAAGGTTTGAAACAAAGGAGGAGATCACCCTGCTTTCATCCTATGACTTGGAGGTGAGGGAAGGCAGATGGGAAGTTAGGATCCTGATGAGGACTCCATACCCCTCTTGCAGGTTCTGGAAGCCACACGGGTGACACGCCACAAGAACGCCATGGCAGAACGCTGGGAGGCCCGCATCTATGCAAGCGAGGATGAGGACTAAGCCGGTGCTGGGGCAGGGGCACCCACCCCTCCTGCCCTGCCTGGGAACTACCAAGACCGTTGGCAAGCCTCCCCCCCTCCATAGGAAACAGGTCCTGCTTAAATCCATGGTCTGAGTCCCCCAACTACGTGCCAATCAGCACAAGGGTGAGCTCACTTCTGGACTCGCCAGCTTTCTTTCCATTTTTATTTTCCTGGAGCATTTTTTTCGGCTTTTGGGGGATGAAGCAGGACCCCTGTAGATGCTTTCCGGTTCTAAGACTTTGCCAAACACTCCGTGATCCAGGAAGGAGGGAGACCTGCCCCCCACCTGGAGATGGAAGTGGCTTCCACTAGTCAGAGGGTGGGGAGTCCGGCCGAGGAGGGAGACGGGGATCCCAGTGCATGGAGGAGTTGCTGGTCTGAGGAACAGAGGCTGCGGCTCAGCCTTCGGAGATCTCCCAGTCTGACGGGGAGACCTGCCCTCCCAAGCTTGGGAGAGCTTCCCGTCTGGAGGGGGCACAGACCTCCACTTCTGAGGGCCAGCCTGGGGTCCAGCAACCTCATGGGCTTGACGCTCTGACACCAGTGGGGTCCCCTGGGGACACCCCCAACCTGGCAGAGAAAAGGGCTCAGTGTCAGGGCTGAATGGGGTCCTTCTCCTGCTGCCCCAACTTCCTGTGTCCACTGGAAAGTACACCCAGATGAGCTGCGCCCCGTCTCCCGCCAGCTGAGACCTGTGTGGGAGCTGTGTGCCCTGCCCCGCTTCTCCGCTCCTCACACCTATTGCTGCCATGTGTCCCGTCTGCTCCTCTGGCCCCATGTCGGCCGCATCCCACCAGGCTGGAGCCCGCAGGTTCTGACAGGCGTTGGCGGTACCCTCCGCCTGTCTCGTCATTTCTCCTTCTCTCTGTCTCTCTCTCTCTCTCCCAGCCCTTGTTTCTGTCTCTCCACCCTCCCCTTACTTCTCTCCTCCGAGTCCACGGTGACTCTTTGTTCTGGCCACAAAGAACCCTCAGACCCAGGAAACCAGTTTCCCAGCTCCAAGATGAAACATGACCCGCGCGGCCCTGTGGCCCAGAGCCACGTCTTTCTGGGGGAAGCCGGAGGCCATGCCGCGGGGCCATGCCGGGCGCGGTGCCACTGTGTCCCGGGAGGTCCCTGCTCCAGGCCTCCCACCCTCCAGGGCAGCCCCACCTCCACCGCGGTCCAGACAAGGGGACCGATGCTCAGTGTCTGGGGGATGAGAATGTTCCACGAACAGGAACGGCGGTGGGTGCGCAGCCTGGTGGACGCGTCAACGCCCTTCAACTTCACTCCCGAAACTGGTGAAAGCACAGATTTTTGGTCATGCACCTTTTACCCCAATAAAATGATTGTTCAGATCTCCTGCCAGGTCCGCCATGCCTTCCCCTCAGCTAGGGCCCCGGATCGCCCCAGGTGGGGGGTCCCCCGGCGCAGACGAGCAGGCAGCGGCCAGGCCTGTGAGGGCTGAGCCCCACGGCGCCAAGCACACCTTTGTGGCCCGGGCCCAGCAGCGGCCCCGGCCCACCCCGACTCATGGACCTTCAGAAACCAGGAGGAAAAGCAGTCGCTTCTCCGAAGACCCAAGGAGGCCCCGGAAACCAGCCACGAGGCCTCTGGTCTCACGGCTTGAAAAAAAAATTAGAAACTGAAATGCGTTCCGACGAACAAATGAGGCTCGCGAGATGGGCTGCACACGCCCTGGACACTGCTCACCCACGAGGAGCAAAACATCCCGGGCGCGCATGCGCTGCTCGCCCTCGAGGAGTAACGGCGTCCCGGGCGCGCGCACGCCGCTGAGCCGCGAGGAGTAAAGGCGTCCCGGGCGCGTGCACGCTGCTCACCCACGAGGAGTAAAGGCGTCCCGGGCGCGCGCACGCTGCTCACCCACGAGGAGTAAAGGCGTCCCGGGCGCGCGCACGCCGCTGAGCCGCGAGGAGGAGACGCCCGGGGCACGCGCAGCTGTACCCCGTGGAGGAAGCCGGACAGCGTCCTGCTGAGCTAGACCAGGCAGCTGTGGAAGGACGCGTGCTGGCGGGTCCCTGACGGGAAACAACCAACCGCAGAAAAAGCAAAGATTAGCGGTGGTCCCTGGGGCGGGGAGGGGGCTTGCTTTGGGGGCAGCGAGTTCATGTTCAGGGTGGGGAGTGATTGGAAAAGGGTAGCCAGAATGTTCGCACAAACTGAAGAATGACGTCGAGGTCACTGAGTTACACACAGGCAGAAATGGTTGAATCGGCCAATGTTTGTTATGTATATTATGAACACGATAAAGTCAAGGAGGGAAAAAGCCATGGGCGCACACACACGTGCACACACATGCACGCATGTGCACATACCCTCACACACAGACGTGACCTGAAAAATGCAGAGTCCCGCTGGAAGCCCGTCCCTTACCCTGACTGGCACGTGCCACGTTCTCATGGCCGACTCTTCGAACAAGGCAGCCCGTTAGAAAGCGGAGCCCATGTGTTCTAGAAGGTACTCCGTGAACGGTTTAAATGCGTTCCCGAGGGAGGGACGTCTGCCTGCCTGGGCTTCGGGGGACTAAAGAGGGGGCTTTCAGGAGGGAGGAGTAAACGGGGAGAGTCAAAGCCTTTGGGCGTCCGTCCATACAGCCAGTCCCTGGTGAGCCTTGCTCCTTGGAGCAAGAGAGTTGCTAGCCGTCCCTGGTGGCCACCCCCCCGAAGCTCGAGGAGTTATGAGCGCCCTGGGGGCGGGCAGTTCTCCCCAAAGCCATTGCAAGGAGAATGCCCTAAATTTCCAACTTAAAAGCCAGGACCTTGCCTCCCCGTGCCGTCCTTCCCTCCCTCCCAGGTCTGCCTGCCAGTGTCAACAGCTTCTTCCAAGCCGTCCTTTGGGCTGCTTACTCCTGCAGGGTGTAGTGCTCCGGCAGTGAGACCCAAACCAGCCTGCTTTCTCGGCTTCCTTGCCCCTGAGCCGTGTCTGTCGGCTTCTGCGGCGTGACAACCTCCCCCAAGACTCATGGCTCCAAGCAGCAGCTGTTCACAGGCTCACGATCTCCTAGGTTCTCCTGGGTTTCTGGGGCGGGCCCTAAATCAATGCAGGTGGCCGCATAAGAGACACAGGTGTGGCGAAGACAGCCACGTGCAGCTGGAGGCGGAGACTGGAGTGATGAGGCCACGAGAGGCCCGAAGAGGCCAGGAAGGACGCTCTCCTAGGGCCTGCAGAGCCAGTCAGCCCTGCCGACACCGGGATTCTGAGACTCCAGCGTCCGGAACTGGGAGAGGGTGTCTGGTGGGTCTTTGTTGCAGCAGCGCCAGGACACTCGGACAGCAGATCTTGCGGAATAAGGGCAGTGAAGGCAGGTGGGCGGAGAGAGCGCCGGGGCCACGGGGGCCGCCCAGAGGAGTGGCAGGATGAGGAGAGAGGGAGATTCCCAGAAAGAGGGCACAGCCCGTGCGAAGGGCCTGAGGAGGGCCTGTGCCTGGCGACTTAGAAGCACAGGGAGGTGGCTCGCGTGGCTGGAGGAGTAATGAGGGGAAGGCGGGGAGGGCAGCGGTACACAAAACGGCTGGCTCAGTGCTCACAGGCGCCCTCTGGTGGCCGCAGGGAGGACAGCCCGTAGGGGCAGGCGCGGAGGCGATGCAGCACCTGGCAGTGACTGCGGTGCGGCTGGGCGTTTCCCTGGTGGACGAGTGAGGGACGGCGCCAGCCCACGGTTGAGCTCGCACAGCTGAATGGTCTGTGGCTGCAGATGTCCCAGGGTCAGTTTACCTGGATGTCGGTTATGGGCTCTGTGATCTTGACACACCTGGGCCCACCACAGGCTACATACAGGCCGCTCAGTAACCAAAGCTCAACGCACTGCCAGAGTTGATTCTGACTCACAGTAACCTCCAAAGGTTTCCAAGGCTGTGGAAAAAGGTTTTCTTTACAAAAGTAGATCGCTTCCTCTTCCTCCCATGAAGCCGCTGGTGGGTGAGCACCACCGACCTTCTGGTTAGCAGCGAAATGCTATACCCACTCCGCCACCAGAGCTCCGGGCCCTCGGAGAGGAGGTAACTACGCATCCGCCCCGGATGGCGGTGGGTTCGGGTATGCACCCGCCCCAGGTGACCCTCTGAGGCCAACAGCCAGTTGCCCACCAGCAGGTGGCAGCCCAGGACCACAGTCAGTGCCATGCGGCATTTCCTGGACTGGACGGATTCTTGGGGGGGGGGGCGTGTTAAGGTGGGATTGGGTTTACTCTGAAAACCTTGAGCACTCGCAATGCGAAGTGCTGGCAGGACCCTGGGGACACTAGCACTGCCTCCACCTGACAGGTGTAGACCGTGTCATCCTGCCCGAGGAGGAGGCCCTGGGGTGTGGACGGTGCACACGCACAGCTGCTCCCTGAAAAGGCTGGACACGTTCAGTCACAGGCGCCTCAGACGGCCTGATGCTCTCCTTCCAAGAAAAGCAGCCTCAGAAAAGCCCGTGGAGCGCAGTTCTGCTCGGGGCCACACGGGGGCGCCATGCACCAGGTGGCCCGCAGGAGCTGGCTTTTCCTTTCCCGCTGAGAGGGCTCTTGGTTTCCCAGGGCTGCTGAAACAAGGGCGCCACAAAGAGGACGGCCTTAAGGGGCGGGAATTCACCTCGCGTTCGGGAGGCTGGAAGTCCACGATCCCGCTGTCGGAAGGGTCTCGCACCCTGAGAAGGCTTGGGGACCATTTTTTCTTGTCTCCTCCAGCATCTGGGGGCTCCCGGCGTTCCCGGGCTGTGGCCGGGTCCTCCCACACGTCTCCCGTGTCTGTTCTCACCGAGGGACTCGCTTTGTGAACCATCAACATTGTCTTTATTATTATTATTATTATTGTGGTTTGGGTGACATTTTACAGAGCAAATTCATTTTCCATACAGCAGCTCACACACACTTGTCTCATGGCATTGACCACAGTTTCCCACAATGCAACAGCTCCCCTCCCACTTCCTCCCGACAGTCACCTCTTCCCTGTGCCCATCCCTCCACGCCCTCCTGCCCCCTGAGCTGTCTCC